GGCTGCACCTGTGACTGGGACTCTTGGTTGGTCGCCACTGCCATTCCCTCAGGTACGGTGGGACGGGGTCCTGGCTGGTGAGGTGCTGCCCAGCCCTACCCCACGGCACTGCACTCAGCGCCCCGGCCCCCCGGAGCAGCCAGCCCCTGCTGCTCCCTGACTCCATGGTGGGTGCTCTGGAAGGGCCTGGCCTCCTGCCTGCGCCTGGCCCAGCCTAGGGAGAAGGGAGGGCACAGCCACGGCATGAGTGCGGGTGCATGTGTGTGCACAGGGGATGGTCAGGTAGCACAGCACGTGGTTTGGGCAGTTGGTGAAGCCACCAGCACCTACGGCTGTCATGATGTTGCCAGCATAGCATCAGAGCTAGGTCTAGTTTTGTTTGTGGGCATTGTTCAGCCAGCCATCAGGAGCGCATGTTTGCACAGGTGTGCGCTTGTTTAAGTGCCAGACCCATGCCCATTAGGTGCTAGGCGCTGTCTAGCTGTCACAGCCGAGCCCTCCCCACAACTGTCTATAGGGGAAAGAACCTGGGACATCAGATAAATAGATACTATTTGTGTGTGTGTGTGTATATATATACACACACATACACACACACGCATATGCTAGCGAGCACCTAAATCAAGTGCAACACCTACTCTCTAATGGTAGCAAAGCTGCATTTCTATGCTGCTTTACCTCGCACCCAGCACCCAGCAAAGAGGTTTGCCAACTCTGTAGGGATTCAAAACATTGCTGCTGCAGGGAAAGGCATTTCCCCTATGTCGTCCTCTCAGGGAATGTAGTTAATTGATCTGCTCCTCCCCTGGGCTTCCTGCTCCTCCAGGTAAAACTGCTGCCTGCCTGCCTGCCTACACCAGCGCTGCTGGCAGCTGATGGTGCTGCTCCCACAGCAGGCACCCTCACGCTGCTGTTCTCTGAGAGGCTCTCAGGAAGCCACCCCTTTTTTGAGGACTGGTACAGGCCACGTGCACAGGGCAGTGATGCAGATGCGAGTGTTTGCTTGTAGGTGATACACGCCACAGCCTGTACTCCATCATCCTGCTACGTGTGTGTTGTTTCACACCTCCCTGGTGTGTTACATTAAAGTTCAGTCCTTGAGTGTGATGTTTGATCTCTTTTGCAGGTACCTGACCGTTGCCTGGATCAGCTCACTACCAACTTCCAAGAGACAAGCATCCTGACACCAGGACCTCGCGCTGCTGGGCTGGGATGAGACTGCTTGGCTCCCTTGAGAGCTCTGTGCTTTGCTGAGGGATGCCAGAGATGACACCAAAAGCTGGGTGATCTGCTCACACCTGGCAAATAAGGTAAAGAGGATGGTGGGAGTTATCAGAGTAAGGTTGGCTCTGCAAGTGTAGTTGGAGGGTTTCCTGGAGGTGCTCTTGGGCATTCTGAGTTCTCAGTCCTTAAACTCTGCAGACTGAAGCAGAGCAGCCCTGGGCATGGGCCTGTGGGGTTTGGTTCCTGCACAGAGAATTGCTTTGAGCTGTGCCCACGGCCCCTCTTGTCTGCCTCTGTACCTGCAGCTTCTGCAGCCACGCTCCTGTTCTCTCCCTTTCTTACCTTCCTTCCTCCCTCTTCCCTCCTTTCTCTCCTTCTTCCCTTACTTCCTCCTTGCCTTTCATTTTCCTTCCTTTCTCTCCTAATGGGGTGCCGCTTCCCTAGAGCCTCTTCCCTTACCACAACTCCACCCCAACAGACACAGACACCTCCAGTTGTTTAGTCCCTTTATTGTCACCCCACAGGGAACAGCTACATCCTCTGCACAGGCTTAATCCCCAGGATGTCGAATCCTTTGGCCATGACGGTGGCAGTGGCTTCGCACAGCAGCAGCCTCCACATGTTCACCTTCACGATCTGGCCTGCAAAACACCAACGGAGGAGCTGGAGCAGCTGCTCAGAACAACTAACGCTGCCTTCCCCAGGGAGACCCCATCCGCCCACAACCTGGGGCTAGGCACACTGAGCCCCCTCCTGTTCTCCGCAAGCCAGGCAGACTGACCAGCCCTCGTGTTTCCAGGTGCCTGGTTGCTTGCAACTGTCTACTCAGTCCTCCTGCTTCACAGGCAGATGATGACACAAGCTGTGCCAGCCACCTTCAGTCCTCCCACATGGACAACACTTGTTCTGCAGCAGCAAGTAGTGTGACAACGGCCTTCCCAGCACAGGGAAACATCCCGCAGATTGCTGTACCGTGACACAGGCACACGCAGTACCCCTAGGCTAACACTCACCACTCTGCCTGTCCTTCTCAACGCAGTAGCAGTTGTCGTAGAACTCTGTGAAGGTGGTGGCCAGCTCATAAAGGTAGTCACAGAGCGTGTGCAATAACAAGTCCTCCAGGATCTTCTGCAAGATCTCAGGGAACCTCAGGATGCACTTGCCCAGCTTCCACTCCTTCTCATGGTCAAGGATGAGCACCTCCTCGCTGGCTGCCTTCCGCAGCATCTGCTCGTCAATATTGGCCAGGCGAGCAATAGCCCTGAAATGATCCAAAACACAGCCTGCTTGTGAGGGTCCTACTACTCAACCTGCCCCGGGGCCAGCTTACAGCTGGTCATGCGTTTGGCCTGTCTCAGGGCTAGCACAAGCCACCCACTGATCTCCTCACTTGCCCAGTCCTGGGTTACCAGGCCAGAAAAGAGCAATCAGCCCTGGGAACGCACGGGGAGGCGCAGCCTGTGGAGCGATCCTGCAGGCCACTGCAGAGGAAGAGGGAGGGATGTGCTCTGGGCATGTGCGTCGGCAAGGTCAGCTGATGCTGCCAAGCAAACCAGGGCTCAGAGTGTGGGGTACGGTGACACCTGAGGTGAGAAGCTGCTGGAACACAGGCTCACCCCTCTCCAACCACCTAAAACCTCTAATGGAATTACCAGAAACTCCCACAGTTCCCTCCCTGCTAACTAAAAGCCTGGGATGCATGTTGCACAGAGGAGCCCTGTTTCAGATAGCAGAGGACACCATTTCCAATGACAAATAAAATCTTGCCTATGGGGCATACCAGTGTAGCTTGCTTCTCTTACCAACTACCCCTAACAACACTAAGCAACCCCTTTCCCCACATCTCCCTTTGCGGTAAAGAAGCAGAGAGCATCAGAAACCAAGTCCAAGCGACTCCCAGCACACTCAACCTACCTGATCCGTGTGAAGGCATACAGCAAATACGCAGCTGTGTTTCCTCGGTCATCCAGCATCTTGTCGAAGGAGAATACGTAATCGTTTAGTCTGTTGTGGGAGAGATCTGCATATTTAATACATCCAAAAGCAACTGACGTCTGGGCAGCTTTCAGCTCTTCTGCCGTGAGGACCTGTTGCAATTTCAAAACAGGTAACAGTCATGAGGAAGAATGCTACGTTGGCATCACAAACCACAACATGCAGCCTTGGCCACTCAGCACAGCTCAAGAGGAAAACCCAGGCTGTGAGGGGATTTTACCCACACAGTACTCAGTGAAAGGCTCCCACCCACTTCTCCACCTCGAGACACCACATAACCCTTTATCTGCCCCTCATTTCTCCTGCAATCAAATGGCACTGCAGCCCTGCCCAGGTAAAGGCTGACTCCCTCTAGTCCCGCAGGACTTCTGTGCCCCATGATGCCATACAGGTTTCACGCTCATACTGTGCTCCTGCTTCTTACAAACTGCGCATACACATAACAAACACTTGGCCCTCCTACCCTTATAGAGCATTTTGGGCGGTCCAAACACTCACAAAACCCCTCTCTGGTAGAACAGCACCCTGTCAGCATGGCAAAGCACTTTGTGTCTGACTCATTTGAGCCCTTGGGAGATTTTCAAGGTGTTTTTTTTTCTGTGCCTCCTCGTGTTTCTGTTTAAAAAGGGACCTTTCACTTTCACCCTACACTGCACAGCACCAAGGAGCTACACTTCCCAATTCCACTGCCTCACACAGTGCTTGGACAGAGTTTGGTCCTTCTGTTCCATTCCACGTCCCACACTGTCCAGTTCTCTCCAGGCCATCAGGATCCAAGACAGACAGAAATCTCATTAAGCAAAGCGCTTCCAGCAAACTCAGCCACAGCCCCCAAGGGAAAGGGTGGAAGCCTGATGCCAAAGCCCCCCGCAGATCCCCAACCATCCATCACCAGAAGTCACCGCTAGCCCAGCAGGCCAAGGCTGCAACTTTATATTCTGCCACCACCTCCTGTATCCTGGGGGAGTCACCACTGTTGCCATCACACCAGTGAGACCTGATGGTACCTGCAAGGCCAGCTACCCTGCCAGGCCCTGCTCTCCTCTCCCGCCTCAAAAAGCTCTGCAGTACCAGCCAGAGGCCAGCGTGCTGCCTGCAGCTCACATTTTCTCACTGCTATGTACTCAGGGATGCTCTTCTTTCCCCATGACAGCACCTCGCCCAAACTGCCATCAAATAATCACACTGATTGTGTGCACAACCCACGGTATTTCCTGGGTGGTTTGGTGGTGTCCATATTCTCAGCTCACACCCAGAATGCAGAAGCCGTAAGTCTGTGAACAAATCTGGGAGTTCTCAGGAAAGATAAGCAATTTGTCACAACTACCTTGTCCCGTTCCTTGTCTTTCAGCTTGTCCATGGCTCGTTTCAGCCCTTCTTCCAGCAGATCTATAAGACGCACTGTATCCCCCGAACGAGTTTTGAACTTCTTCCTGAAAACACACAGCTAAAATGACCATGTGCATAAGAGGCAAAACACTCCCACAAAACATGGGAATCTCAGAGAACTGTCCCAGTTCCAGACATTAGGCAGGACACAGTACCAGTGCCTGACCCCTGCCCAGCACAGCAAGTCACCTTTACTTTTATAACAAAGCTACAGCAAAACCACCCAGTCCGCAATGGCATGTGACCGTCAGAGTGCACTGGTTTAGCCACACCTTCACAGAGACACAAGAACAACTCTGGTGCACAAGGGTCTGGCTTACAGACCAGGACACAGAGGTTCTTTTCCCAACGTTCATTTCGTCCACCATGAGGCAGGTAGACAACAATGGAAAACATGGCCTTCACCGTTGCCATCTCCCAGTATTCACATCAGCTTCCACTGCACTTTCACCAGCCATTCCCAGTGCCCCTCCCCAAATGCCAGGCAGCAGAAGCCAGGCCCAAGACAGAACCTGACCACAGCACCAGTGACTATGTGGATCAAGGACCAGACACACAATGAAATGACACAGTTACGAGTAACAGCATGTGTGTGGTACTTTTTTTTTTTTGGCATGCCACAAACATACTTGTCAACAAACAAGAGCAAGTCTTCTCTATTCACTCAAACAACCTCTTCAGAGCACATATAGAGGAAAAACTACATCCAAAGACTTACTTGTCTTCTCCCAGCACCACTCCGAACGCGGCATGGGCCACTCTGGTTACTTTAGGATCATACCAGCCGATCATCTGTCCAGCTGCAAACACCGTTTGTAAATGCACCGACTGCAAGGAACAAACACCAACAACTGGTTCTCAACCCATTCCTCCAGGTATAGTTTTTTCCCCAGCTTTATCTCCTTCACAATGCTGCTTTCACAATGAGACTTAAAATGTTTCTAGCTCCACAGAAAAATTCCACTTCAGAAAGTTCAACCTTTCAAAGAGTTTTCCCGGCTTAAAGAAGCAGAAACCGGCAAATTCCCATCACTGCTCTGACACAGAGCTGACAACCTTGCATTTCCTCAGGTAAGGAGAGACCCAAGTATAAGCAGTACAAATCTCATTCCAGATCTATTGAGATTTAGGCTTAACCCACCTCCAGTGGTAACTAGGTCTCTCCCTAATCAATCAGTTAGAGGGGCTCTTCATGGAGACCACCAGCCACCAAACTAGATTCACCACTACACTGATAAGGACAAGAGTACATATACCACACTAAAAACCCTATGGCATTCTACCTATGTTATTGTTGCATTTAACACACTTTCTGATAATCTGTACCAGCAGTGACAGCAGAGGTTGGCATACTCACCTGGCCGCTATCGACAACATAAATAAGGATGTCAGCGTTCTCTTCGCACAGCCTGTGTTTAAGAGCAGCTAAGTCAGATGTGTCGTACGTGTAACCTCCGTCCGATTTCATGATTGTCAACGGGACAGGGAAACCTGGGACAAAAACAATCTTCCGGCCATCATCGACTTGGACAAATCCTAGAAAAGCAATGGAAAACATCCTGTGTTGTATTGAGTG